AACTAAAGCACATTGCATGAAGGAGGTAAAAGAATAAGCGCACCTGCCTTCACAATTCGAATTTGAAAATTTTAAATACTTGCTAACACAACCAAATGAAGGCATGACTTCCCTGAAAGGCCATGCTCTTTTTTTGGGGAAGTCACACCTTCATTTGGTCATGTTACGAAAGTATGCAAAATCATAATTTGTGGCAGCAGGTGTGCTTTCTTTACCTGCTTTGTGCACTTTGCTTCAGTTTGGACCTGGAGTGGCTGGCACTGAAGAAGTTTCGCGATGCAAAGCGTTCGGCAGCCTACATCACCCAGGCAAAGTGGAACCTGAAGGTGAGACATGCTTGCTGCTTCATTTTGAAGAAGCCTGTTCGCACGACCTGGCAAGGCCTCACTGGGTTGGGAAACGTTGACATTGCAGAAACTGTACACTATGTACTCAACAAAGGCCCAAAACTTAGCCACGAACCTCTGTTGCTGGCTCACTAATTACTGGGATTGCATCAACAAGTCGGCTAACATCGATGTCGCAGTTATGGCTACTGCTCACAAGACAGTATCTAAGCTCTAGCAAGAACAGGGAAAAAACCCTCTTCGTCAGGAGAATACATTGGTGGGTGTTGTTTTATTTTATTTATTTATTGGTACTGCAATCTTTTACAAGAACATAGCAGGGGTGGTACAAAACATAAACATAAACATCAGTGGAAACAGGCAAACAAACAATAAATGTAATACAAACTTATGTAACTGATAGCTACAGTGATTCTTCGAGACAAGAGAATCAACAAAAAGTAAGGTACAAACATAGATAACAATCATTTCTGCAGTGACTCTTCAAATGCAGACAATGTATTTAGGGTAACAACATCGTTATGTAGATTGTTCCAATCCCCGATAGTCCTCGGAAAAAAAGAATATTTGAAACATTTTGTTCGTTGCATCAATGGAGAGATAGTAAGGTTGTGTCTCTGTCTTGTTCCGTAACCCGATGAAAAGTGAACGATATGTGATGTGTCAACTGCATAGTGACCTTTTATTAACTGGAAAAGAAATTTTAAGCGCAATATTCGATTTTGGTCCGGAATGTTTGGAAATTTGCTTTCCAAGAGAAGTTTTGTAATCGAAGTAGGACCGTACGAGTTATAAATGAACCTAACAACCTTTTTTTGCACCCTTTCAAGTTTTTGGATATCAGTCTGAGTGAACGGGTCCCATATGACCACAGCATACTCCAATATAGGACGGATAATGGCATTGTAAGCGAGGAGACGAATACTTGGTGAGGTTGATCTTAAAGAACGCCTTAGGAAAAAAAGTTTACGGAGAGATTTAGCTACTACAAAATCTATGTGCTTTGACCAGGATAGATTTTTTGTAATCCAGAGACCAAGGTACTTGTATTGAGTTACTTCTGACAGAATTGTATTGTTGGTGGAGTACTGGAACAAAAGAGGGTCTTTTTTAAGGGAAATTCTCATAAAAACTGTTTTAGCAAAATCAACAGGCATCTGCCATTTGTCACACCACGAAATTACTTTTAGAAAGTTCCGATTTAGATTAATTTGATCGTCAACTGTGGTGATCTTTTCATATAAGACACAGTCGTCGGCGTACAACCTAATGTGAACAGAAAGGTCAGTGACGATATCATTTATATATAACAGAAAAAAAAAAGAGGCCCAAGGACGGATCCTTGAGGAACGCCTGAGTTTACAGGAGCTTGTTTAGAAGATGTATTTTTTACCGTAACAAATTGACGCCTGTTTGTTAGGTATGCTGTTATCCAGTCAAGGATCTTTTTGTTTTGTAGAATACAAGTTAATTTGTGAAGTAATTAATTATGCGAAACTTTATCGAAGGCTTTTTGAAAATCCATAATTATGGCATCCGTCTGCTTCCCTTTGTTAATTGCTTGAGCAAAGTCATGCGTAATTTCCACTAATTAAGTATTCGTTGAAAAGCCCCGCCTGAACCCATGTTGAACATTTGTTAATACTTTATGAGAATTAAGGAAGGTAATTATATGTTTATGAATAATGTGTTCTAGAATTTTACATGATGTTGATATAAGGGAAATCGGTCGGTAATTCGGAATAGATGACTTGTCTCCCGCTTTGTGTAAAGGCTTAATTTTGGCGATCTTTCAGTCATCTGGCAGTTGGCCCTCATTCAACGAATGGGTATACAAAATAAACAAATAGCGAGAACACCATTCTGCGTAGCGCTTCAAGAAGGCATTTGGAATGCCATCTGGCCCGGTTGATTTTTTAACATCCAGATTCAGCAGTAAGTTTAAAATGCCATCCTCGGAATGCCATCCTAAATGCCATCCTCGGGGTTGTTATTCTTCAAGTGCAAAATTTTGAGTCCATTTTAAGTGGATAAAAGTAGTGGCTCCATTGCAATGTATGTAGATTTGTGCAACTTCGAGGCAGGACAAGCAGTCTACATGAACTTCATCAAGGGAAAAGTCATCAAAACAAGAATTTTGAAAAGCAAGGCAGTGGCTCTGAGTAAAAACTTGAAACTTACACAACTAGCAGAGTCTATCGCGTACTGCAGCTAGCAAAAAGAACACCCTTTCTGTGTTTTTTACGGCCAAGATGCATAAGCCGGGTGTTTCATTCAGTACAATTGTGAGTGATTGAGTTATCTGGCAGAATGTATTAGTCAGTTTTTAATGAAGCGGCTAGACTCGGTCGTCAGGAAAGACTCATTTTAAACTGAGAATTTCCCTTGGATCATCCACTTTCTTCAAAGAATCCTTCGATGAGTACTTGTTCTTGGTTGAAGTTGAGGACCTATTGTACTCTGTCCTGCACAGTGAATTGTTTTTCTACATAGGAAGTTGCATAGACGAGAGTGGTGCGGTTTCCTTCAGGAATGCTGCGGGCATGGCATTATAAGCTTTTATGGCCCTTCTCAAGTTTTGTGTTAAAGTCAACTTAATTAGCGATTTTATATTCAAAAACGAAGCATTTTCGTAGGCTCATATTTTGCTCTTGTGTTGTGCAAATTTTTATGTTTGACCGTAACTTGTTTTGTTACATTCCACCAGCATTTTGTTTAGTGGAAGGTTTTGAAAGTTCTTGCGTATGATGATAAATTTTTATTGTTTCGAAACATCTATCAACCGTCACACATTAGCCCATTGTTAACAATGTTCTAGCAGGCTTTCCCAGACTGAAAAAGGATTGGTGTTTACACATGAGTTGAAGGCTTGTGGCTCTTTGCAGTTTTTGGCTTAGCGCATTACCTTGCAGAGTCGTCACGGCTGTTGGCTTTGTTGTTTGGTGTGCAAAAGAATTGCTTCCATACAAGTTGATGCATTCCAAAACTGTGAAAAGGGCCATAGCTCAACAATGCCCAGGCTATGCATGTGCAGTGTCGTGCTCACACGTTATGCAGAAAACTTTTCAAAACCAATTGGATTGGTCGCCTGTGGTTGGTTTCTTTGCATGCTCCTTAATGCTGTAGCTGAGTTGCTTCACCAGACTATCAAGAGAGAACACTACGGTACTGGGGTAGAGCAAGAGAGCAGAACAGCGAGACCTGAGGTTGTACCGTGTATGCACCGAGCTGCACACGACCTAAAAATAGTTGCAAACAGAGATGGCATGCCGATTCTTTTTTTTGTGCCACAAAAATCATCTCAGCTTTCTCATGTATACTAGTATACTACCTAATGGAAGCAACAAAGGTGGGTACGGCAAGAGGCACGCCAAGTCATACACAAAATGTGTCAACCTGGTCGTTTATGAATTTCCACTACCCTACGGCAAAAGATGAATATTGGCCGGGCAAGAATATGCGTGAATGAGCATGCACAGAAACATGAGCTTTCGTTAAAAGATAAATATGGGGAACATTTGCTGACTCATTGCGATTCTCATAAGTGCGAGCCATACCTGGACAAGGTTTGGATTATTGGCAGAAGCAGGGACACTAATACTCGAGAATGCATGGATGCATTCTGTATAAAATCACGACGTTCATTAGGTATCAGTGATACTTTGTCTTTCTGGTAGGTAGAGAACAATTTCACAGATTGTGATTAGTTGGTATACTCTCAATGTGAGCCTAGCTTACTCCACTCATGTGCCTATAATTTTGATGCAGGATATGGTGAATCAACTGTCAAAACTTTGAGCTCCCCTAGACCCCTATTCTCATTACTTTGTGATTAAAAACAGCCATATCTTTGTGGCTCTTACAAGAACATGGACCAATTAGAATAGCAAAGAGTACTTCTAGCCTGACCTTTGTGTCTTGAAAATCCGTAGGGGCAAATTTGACATAGTAGAAGGACACCGTGTCTGGGTGATGCAGGCCAGGGAAACATGAGGCTTTGACAAGTGACCGATATGCAATGACAAGGAGAATGAATGCAGTGATTGTGCGAGCATTCCAAGCTAGAAAAAGGCTAGGAGTGATCAGTGCCTTTCGTTGCATAAGCCATTAAATAACAAAAGCAACCACCAACACCTCTGCCACCATCTGGAATGTAAGAGCACTACCAAAGGCGGTATCCATTGTTCTTCTGCACAGGGTTACGGCGTGCAGCTCCATAGAAGTAAAGCGAGGACACATAAATATTTCAATGTGGTAGTGTCAGAGTGCATGCTCGAATTTATTGCGACAAAACTATAAAAAAAAATCACTGCTTTTTTATCTAGTCGCTTTAAAAAAAACTTTAAATTGGTTTTAAGACAACATTAGAATTTACAGATTTTTGCAGGTGAACGGAAATTCTTCATTAGATTATAAATTCCGAGAGAGAGCTGCACCGAGAGAGAGCTGCACCGAAGCGGGAAGGTATGCTTTATTGACAAAATTTATGATGGCAGATAAAGCCCGAGGAATGCTGCTTGAAGCCGAAATGAAATTCATTCACGTAAGATCATTCACACTGCCAATGTTTAAACGCTTGCAGTGTTCAAGCTTGGCCTTATTATCTATAGACAGAATAAAAAACTAAGGAGCAATCAAAAACACGGCATGTGTAACGACAGTGGGATGACATACGAAGTACACAGCAGGGAAAAGTTTTAATAACAAGATGACAAAAGTACATATGAAAACAACAGCTGATAAAACATGTAGCAAAACAAAATATATCTATTCGTAACGAGAACGAAAAGGTTTGCAAAGGTAAGTCCCGTTTGTGGGTATACGCCACGAGCGATAGTCTAGTAAGAGCAGGCCTCTATAAGATAGTTCACGATGTTCCTGGAGACGGGAAGACCTCAATTTGCGTGAACTTGGAACGTTTGACTGCCGTATCTGGAGCTGCCCAGCCACTTCCTGCAAGCCTCCCCTGAGGTTTCTGCAACCCTTCATTAGGTACTTGACATCGTAAATAGATGGAAAATACAACTTTGGCGTCTCAAAGAAATCTGCCTCAGATATGGGCAGGCTCCCTCCGGTCAGTGTCTTCAACATGTAACCGAAGTCGTGGCACTGTGAAAAGTGAGCCACTTAACTTCGTCAGAGAAAACAAGTCCTGAAGTCATGAGTAACTGGGCAAACTCAAACTCCTCAATGCCTTCCTCTTTATGCCTGCGAAACATTACACCAGCCCTCACTAGGAAGTTGATCGAGTCTTGCGCGAACACGTCTCTCGACAAGCAGAACTTGAAGTTGAATTGCCAGGTGGAAAGGCCTTCCGGCTTGTTGCCGTTCTTGTCAAAAAAACTGAGACCCGCCTGGATAATCTTGAAAGAGTCCACGTTGCAACGCAGCGCTTGATATTGATAGTCGATGAGGCTCTTGAACTTTCGTACGTGCTGCGCTATGACGCAATGGAACTCAGTATCCATTGCGATGTAGTTGTACCTTTGGACCAGGCGCCTGATGGTGCAGAACTCTACCTCGATTGCAGCCCCAAACATCGCGGATTTCGCAGGGATCGTCATCTATGGACAGAGTGCTTTGCCTGTTATTGGAGCTGCTGGAGCTTCTATAGGCCTCAAACTCACTCAGCTCACTCAACGCTTCGCTGAGACTACACACGGTGCACACGCACGAAAGCATTGAATCCTAATCGCCAACGTAAAAGATGCGAATGGCGTTTCTTCCTCTTCAGTTATCCTTCCTGCAGGAGACTTCTTACAAACTTCGATCTGGTTAACTCGGGCGAAAACAAAATAATATTTCGTTTTTTTTTTACTTTATTTGCCAAATTTTCCCGATTTTCACTAGTTGTCCTTGCTGACAGTTGTAAAGAAAAAAAAGAGTAGTTTCCCATCACTTTATTATGAAAACGTCTGGTAAGTATATGTGGCGCTAATGGACGGGCGGTTTCGTTTTCGCAGCTCTTTCAAACAATAACCATATTGTAAGCCTAAATGAAAGCAGTCGGCAAAGGTGTTTATTTTGCACTTTTAATTCTGAGCGCAGAATTCAATGTTTTTTTTTGTTGCTTTAAGAAAAGAAAATTGGAGAAGGGAGCGCGAACGGGCTGCATTATATAAAGAATTACAAACAAAACTTACATAGAATCAATGATCCGCTTCTATGTTTTGTGGCGCGAAACTGTAATTGTATTTTAAATTTAGTGTATTTTGTATAGTTTCGCGGTTGTCTCTAGTTGATTAAAGTATCCTGTGCACGCCTGTAGCCAGGACGGTGATGTTTCCACCCCCCATATTTGGATGGGGGGGTGGTGTTTATTTAAGGGCAATTATTAAAAATGGGTGTTTTCAAAGCCTTCAACAAGTACCCCCCCCCCCATCCCCACGAAAGAAATCATAGCTACTAGGCTAATTTTGCGTGTGTAAACTCTACTCTGCTGGCTAGAACTCTACAGGCAGTAAGACTTCATCTGCAGGGAACTAGGGCCGCATGACCTGTACCCAATCCCAATGGTGTACCTCAGCGGTTGCGCACCAGGTCCACGCATCGCTTGCCGCACCTCGAAAAAGATTTCTGTCTACACCATCCGTTGTCCTCTTCTCTTTTGCGGCCAAGTCCTGCTATTTGGCAATAAATTTCGGGCTTTTGTTCAAGTATTTGTTGGTACGACAATATACAGTATATACTCTGTTGCAATGCGAGGAATTTTGAATTACGCGCGAGAGGAAAAAATGAATTTCGGTATTCAATTGTAGCGCGTGAGGGTCGACATTAGGTAGCAATACGTTCGACAGAAACTCGCGTTACATTTGAATAAGTGCAGTAAATAACGAGAACACTGGCAGCGAAAATGTTGTGTTGGCGTCATCGTCGTTGTGATGGTTCATAAACATCCAAATGCTTTGGCATCCTGCTGCGGGCGCCTGTGTCTCGTTTTAGAATAAACGAATGCATAATGAAAAAAAACGTCCTCTTCGTTCGCGCAAGTGTGGAGATATGTCGAGCGCGCCTTCGCAGCAGAGTGGGATAAGGCAAGCTACAGTGCTCGATGTGCTTGCTTCGTTCAGGTTGGAGACAAGCGCATCACCTGCTACAGCGGTCGCCCTTACTGATTCTAATCTTCAATGCGCGCACTGCCAGCGCGCAGATTTGCAGCCTCTTAATCATGAGTAAAGACACTTTGTCCTGGACTTGCCTTCGCAAACGCTGTATCATTCGCAGATGTTGCTAGTTATAGGTTTGAAGGCCCATATTAACACAAGTAACCAAATGTGTCTCGCCTAAAGGTGTTACAAAGAGAATAGCCCTCACTGCCTGAGCAGCCGCTGGACTGCTGGCTGCGGTTGAGTGGTTCACAGCCGTTTTAAATCGCCGAGTGCTAAAAACACCACCATTCAGTTTCATTTCTAGCCAGTGTTATACCTATGTGTTTATTTATTATTTTTTGACACGGCATACAAACAAAATTTCCCACCATCAGCAGTGATGTGTTTGCCGACGTGAGAACTCTGTGGTTCGCTGTTTATAGCTAAATCTTAAACCCGTCGTGATTCGCACGCAGGTTCCGAGGCTCCTGTTTTATGTGACTGACATATTGATCTTCGTGTGCTCTTATTGAATGTCTATTTAAACTATGGCGGCATTTCACATTTCGAGAAAGTACTGTCGAAAATACGGCAAGCATCAAGATGTCGTTCAGCAACCGCAGCGGAAACGACTAATACACATGTGATGCTTCAATTTTTACAAGCGAATCTCCATAAGCTCCCACGATGTCCACTGTCGCCGCCGTCGTCGTAGCTAGCTCACCATCGGACCGAAAACATTTGTGGCATATACCGCATTTGCAGCATTCATAGCACGCGTATGCTTTATATGCTTTGAAAACAAGGCCGTACTCTGTCCGTCCGACCATATCTGTCTGTCCGTCGACCCTTTTACTCAACTGTGTAACTTCCCGTCCGTCCATCCATCCGGAAGTCCGTCCATGCATCTATACGTACGTCCAATGTATCCTCCTTGACGTCCACCTTATCATCTCGGCGAGTTCAACGGTGCCATTTAGGACCCAGTTTCGCTCTGTGGGAACAGGCAGACAGACGTTGTCGATGTTATGGCACACATTATATATATTTTGTCGGAATCTATTTTGGCATACGCGATCCAGAACAGGCGCAACCATTTCGTGCATGCTTGGTGCGTCGTCGTCTTCTTAGCGCTGGATTCTTCTGGCACGTACTGGTGCGCTGCAGGGCCCCCCTTCGAGCGAGGAATTTGTGACGTGTTAATGTGGCCAGAAGCACACTACTGAGACGCGAAATGCACGTGGCGAGTATGGCAGTCGGAAGTGAATTTATTATGAGACGTTGTCGAAGCGTCGGTATACCCAAGTACTCAGTTTTAATTTGAAACGGTCGACGGAAACCGTATCTTCACGGACGTTGATGAGCAGCTTGACTTTCAGCGTCAACACACACGGCATTCGGGCACCACCGACGACGACGACGAAGCAAGCGCGAGATGATTGCACGTCTTTTAACACTTATGCACATGTTCCGACAACTCATACCGACAAACTTGAAAAAACTGCAGCTCTTATGGGTACCAGGCCATCGTGGCATATATCTCAATGAGATGGCGGATGCACTAGCCACAGTATCTCTTAGCGGTCGCCTTATCCTGATTTTGCCTGATACGGCTTACGCGACAGCAATAAGGTTTAGTAACCTCTGTTTGCATGAATACGACTGCTACTCATTGGATAAATATCGAGATTTCGCACATCTAAGATGCCACTGGAATAGACCGTGGTGTGCAACACGGCACTTGGAAGTTACTTTTACAAGATTGCGTTGCAGAATTCCGCAAATGAATTATTTTTTGCATAAAGTTGGTCTAAAGGCGTCACCTTTATGTCAGACTTGCGAAGAAATGAAAACGATAGATCACTTTTTTTTTCTTCTGTCGCCGATATTCTCATCAGCGGAAAAGATACCTGGTAGCTCCACTTGAAAAATTGGGATTATAATATAATGTGGCAGTAATTTTGTCGTTTGGCAGCATTAAATTCGGTTATAGCCACAGGGACGTCTGCTCTGTGCTCTGCGGTATTTGAATACATAATTGAAAAAAGCGATTGCCATGTTAATCTGCCTATATATATATATATATATATATATATATATACCGTATATACTCGTGTAAGGGCCGCCCTCGTGTAAGGGCCGCACCCCAACTTTGAAAGCGGATATTTCGAAAAAAAAAAAACAAAAGTTCAAAATGTCCCGCCAGAAAAGTGTAGTTAGTTCATTTACAGCCAGATGGCGCTGCACGCTTTTCCGCTTTTATTCTACTTCCGCCGACGCGCCGACCACGCTGTTGACAGCGCGCCGCCATATTTGCCTTGTGCGGCCTCTTTGTTGGCATCGTTCCTAGCATCGTGTCGATACGTTGGCAGCGCGACTTCAGATCGGTGTCGTCGGTGTCACTTTGTTGGTTGTAGTGAACCCTGCAGAAGCCAGCGCACGTGACGGACGATGGGCCGGCATCTGAGATCATTCACTGCAGCATTTAAGCTGCAAGTGATTGACTATGCCGAGGAGCACGGGAAGCGGGAAGCTGGACGAAAGTACGACGTCGATGAGAAGCGCGTGCGTTACTGGATGAATCAGAAAGATGCCCTCGCCGCTACTAACAGGAGCCGAAAGGCGTTTCGCGGGAAAAAGTGCAAGTACCCGCAACTCGAAAGCGAGCTCGTCAACTACGTCGTCGACACACGAAGGGACGGCTACGCCGTATCGACTGACATGATACGCGTCAAAGCCCTCAGCATCGCTCGCCACATGGAAATACCCCCGGCACAATTCAAGGCAAGTCGGGGCTGGGCTACGCGGTTTATGAACCGTAACCAGCTTTCTATTCGGCGCCGAACGACGATTTGCCAAAAACTGCCGCGCGAGTACGAAGACCACGTCATTAAGTTTCATCGCTTCGTGAATGCTCTCAGGAGGGAGCATGAATACGACCTGTCCCAAATTGGGAATGCGGACCAGACACCTGTGTGGTTCGATGCACCGGAAAGCACCACAGTGGATTTAAAAGGTGCGAAAAGTGTGTCTGTGCGCACGACTGGTGCAGAACGCCAAAGGTGCACTGTGATGTTGTGCATCACGGCAGACGGCAGGAGGCTTCCGCCGTACGTCGTATTTAAAAGGAAGACTCTCCCAAAAGAGAAGTTCCCTCAGGGAATCGTCGTACGTGCGCAAGAGAAGGGCTGGATGTCCGAGGAACTGGTCGTTGACTGGATTAAGACCGTCTGGGCAAACAGACCTGGAGGGCTGTTACAACGGAAAGCCCTCCTTGTTTTGGACAGCTTTAGGGGCCACTTGACCGACCGCGTCAAGAACCGAGTTGCCGCAACTCGTACGGACTTGGCCGTCATTCCCGGTGGCCTGACGAGTGTGCTGCAGCCGCTCGACGTATGCGTCAACAGACCATTCAAAGTGGAATTTCGCCGATGTTACTCTGAATGGATGGCTGGAGGCGTCCACGAGAAGACCCCTACAGGACGGCTGAAGCGGGCGTCGCTCCAACAGGTGTGTGAATGGATTTTGAATGCGTGGCGTGCCATGTCAGTAGAAGTAGTTGCTAA